TAACAATTTTACTACATGGAGTTAAAGACTTTATGTATTTTGTGAGTACTACACTATAATCGTTAAAATTTTCTACATGTTGTAACTCATTCTATCAATCATGTCAGCAAAATGTGTTTGATTGATATATTTTCGATTCTACTATAGGTGTTCAATCAAAACAAAACCTATCTAAAGTATCTAAATCAGAAATCATGACAACTTTACATATCTCCATATGTATTCAACTAATAAAGAATGGTGACACTAACCTATTGCATTTATGGCTCTTACATTGGTACTCATAGTCATGGAAGAGGGAAGCCGGATTCAGCAAGTACAAGTAGAAGTAGGAGTAAACTAGATACCCCATATGCAAAAGAAAATGTGCGAAGAGGTTTAGAATAAATGCCCAAAAAATCTTCGGTGGCCTAGGCGGAAAATTTACCAGCAAAGTGTGTATAATTTACACATTCCCCACATTGAAGTGAATGAAATTTTTGGATATTCTCATTGACTATTATAGTGAATTTCCAAAGTTTTATCATACAATACCAGTCAAAATAGAAAGCCAAACTGTATACTTATCTCCTGAAATGCCTCAATGACTTCCAAATCAGAGGGACGTTCTTCTTTTGCTCTTATACTGACACACTTTGCCCCTATAATAAGTAGTCTCCTTATTATTTCTCCTTTGCATTCAGCGGCTCTCCTGTTGGTTGACTAATATTGTGAGATCCTTACCTTGGTCGAGATATGCATATATTCGTACCAAATCTGTAGTCGTTCTCTCATTCCTCAACTTTGTGTGTGAGGAGTTGGAATAGTATGAGCCCATAGGCAAAGACATCACGTTCGGGGCTTGCATCTAAAGAAAGTGAAACGATATGATAATCTAGTATTTCCATGACACAACCATGAACCAACACATTGCGGGGAAAAAATAAGCATTAATTGAATTTTAAGGGTTTAAAATAAAATTTGGAGATAGGGGTTGGAAGGCCAAAAACAACAATTGAGTAAATACTAGTTTCTCTAAAAAATAATCTATTTTTTATCCAAACGATAGCCAGCTGGGATTGGTGCGATTTTGTAACCGCTCCTAAGCGGGCCACCTAGTCATTCCTCCACTTTTCTGCTTTTCCTTCCCTTGTCACATCCTCCTCCCATTTCGTGGGACTAGGACAATCGGATTCTGAGCCGGAGGATGGACGAAATTCCCCAGTCGACAACCTTAGATGTGACTTGGAAAAAATTTAGACTGTGAGGTGACTAAAACTTTCAAATAAATCAATGGAAAAAATTGTGTAGTATGTGTCATGATTTAATCACTTTCTTAAGATGCTTTTTTAATTTGTTTATCTGTTTAATAACCTAACACCTCAATTTGATAATGGATTAGTTACCTCCTATAGCAAAGGTTGATACCTTATTTATTTTAAATAAATATCCTTTTAAAAAATTATATTCCATAGCTACCTTTTTGATTTTTATAGCCAAATATCTATTCATGGTTACCTCCTACTCTTAAGCCATAAAATAAGCTTTGTATTGTTTTTCTCTCTCATATCCCCTCAAATTTCTCCTATCCCCTACCTCATATCTATTCTCCCTCTCTCTCATACTTCCCGATGTCTTCTCCTCCGCCGATTCACCTATTAGGTGTGGTGATGATGACCCGAACGAGAGTCTAGAATAATTCCTGCACTAACCAACTTCTGGATCTTGTTCATCACAAGGGGGTTCTTCAAATGTTCCTGTGCAGCTTTGGGGTTCTCCTGGAAGTCAACTAATACCTGCTCGAGAACACGATATTCAGATCACAATATAGAGGCGTGCTTCAATAATACTACCAATATTATATTATACCAAACTTTACCTATCTCCAGTATACACAGGGCAGCAGATTTTGATGATTTTAGTATTTAATATTTTGAGTTTCTCTCTAATCGTCGGCAACCGGAGGCAATAGTGACGGCGAGCGAGGACTGAATACTGATGTTGCTTCAACGAGGCGACATTAGGGTTGTTCTTGAACAAAGACGACGGAGTTGGGGGTTGAGCAACTTGAATATTCTGTTAATATATTTCAATGTATCTCGTTGTATTTCATTGTATTCATTGTCTTTTTTTTCATTGTATTTCGATGTATCTCGTTGTATTCTATGTATTTCATTGTATTCATTGTATTTTTTATTATTGTATTTCAATGTATCCCGTTGTATTTTATGTATTTCATTGTATTCACTGCCTCGCTATAATCCATGAATTTATTCATATGTTTTTTAATTAATATAATTTATGTATTCAGATGTATTATATAATTTCTCTGAAGATTGCTATGTTTTTGGGGTGTTTTTCGGTTGAGAATCTTTTTTATAACTGGAAATACAAAATTTGTGTGTTATAATTGAGTTTTTTGAATTATATTAGGAGTCTATTATGTTAATTGATTCGCTTTTCGTTTAAAAACAGTGTAATCCCATGTTTCACGCCGTGAATACAGTCGAATACAATAATCTATCCAGTTGTAATTCCATGTTTCACGCCATGAATACAGTCGAATACAAAAATTTGTCTAGCTGTAATCCCCTGTTTCATGCCTATAAATGCTACTGTATTCATGAATACAGTAGCTTAAATACATCGAATACACTCTAAAAAATCTGAAAACATAGCAATAGAAAGTAATATAGTAAATGGTAGCTAAACTAGCTAATAACCACTAAAACATAGTGATTTCTGAAAGTTTTTCTTTGATAATTGCGTCCCAATTTATGTCTCGAACATGTTTTGGTTGAAACCTAAGGGGTTCAGACAAGTTTTGGAACAAGTTATAAACTTTTTTTTTTGGTTTTTCACCCGGTGTCCGGTATTCACATTGGAGCCCGACTATATCCGAATTCGCGCCGCGTAGGACCCATTCGGAGGAAACGCTCCCTACCAAGAATTTTTCCATAACCAGGACTCGAACCAAAGACCTCTGGTTAAAATATGTGGATGGAGTCTGGTGCACCGGTAAAACGAAGATCAGGTCATTTTAGCATAAGAAGATCACCTAACACCCTTTACGATAGCGAATTCGCCTTGTTTTTATTTTAATTAAATACCTTGGACAATTATATTATAGCTCACTATGGGATAAGGATGATTTCTATCTTTTTAAAGCTATTGATTCTTATTCTCTTATCTCTATCAGAGTTTCACCTTAGATTGACATTAGCAAATATTCATTTGGGTAGGTTTTAATTTTTGCTAGAGGCATCCTTCTTAGCCTCTGATTTTCATACACAAAAAATAAGTTTGAAAAATGGTTATTATAATAAACACTAAACAGTCTTGAAAAATGGTTAATATATCTCGATATGTTTACACTCTCTCTGAACTATAATAGTACGAGTAGTTACTTAAGGTGTGTTTCAAATGGTAACTGAAACAATCTACACCAAAAAAAATTAAATTTAATGTATGTTTCAAATGATAATTGGAATGAACTACTAAGTACTAACATTACTTAGACACTCTAGCTGTATATCACCAGCAGAGCAAGCAAACCCAATCACCCTCTCCTAACATCAAGTCGAACAAAAGCACAAAAAAATTGAGTAAAGAAAATTTAAGGTTTTTTTTTTCATTTTTAGCCCCCGTCAGAAATTATTTATATTTGGCAGTCGAAAAAGTGTATAAAATTTGTAAATATATACGTCGGCTATTATTTTGAGAGTGGCTATACAGTGTCATTTTTCCAAACTTTAACGGTATGTTTGGTTTATGGCCTTGTTATGCAGGAATTATGACACGGATTATTTAGTATGAATTATTTTGTGGTGGATAATATAATACATATACTATAACGTACAAGATCGCCTATTTTAAGGGTATGTCTTTAGATATTTTTACCTACGTGTTGCTCCACATTATGTCCCTTAATTAAGATAATACATAAATTCTTATATAAATTAAGTTGATGTTAGTAATATACTATTTGACTTCCGCTATTAAATTCCACATAAATCATGCAAAGTTCAATATCGACAATCAAACAATGGATTAGTTACACATAAAATATATTAGTAATGCATGATTATGTACCAAATAAATTTTCTTATTCCTCCAACCAAATAACCCCTTAAGAAAAGGAGGAGAGAATGGACTAGTGATAATATTGCATATTGTCTTATTTCTAGAAGATAGCAAATTCTTGTAAACTATCCTTCGTATTTTAACGAACGCATTTGATTCAATAAAACTTATGACTTTCGATTGCATAGCCTATTCGCAAGAATTTCTTTATTTTTCTTGTACACATAATTGCATAGCGAGGCCGACAAAGATCGAAGGAATCACTAACTTTCCGCTTCGGAATAAGTGAGATAAACGTAGAATTTATCGATTTGAGGATCTGACCTGTTTTTAAAAAACTTCAATAGCTTTATTAATGTGTGAGGCCACATCATTTGGCAAAAGGTAGTCGGGAAGTCGTCGGGACTTGGGGCTTTATTATTCAGATACTCATTCTTCAAACGTGATCTCCCGTTTAAGCCACGAATTGTCCTCCACGTCCATTTTTCTATTTTTTGGGTGCATTGGTCATCATCTCGATTCAGAATTTAGTTTAAGTAGGGAGAAGCGTTAATACGTAATCTCCCATCACTCCAACGCCTATCACATGATACTCGGGTACATCATAAACACATCACTCTTTAATTTATATAAAAAAGATACAAAATGTACATTCAAACCCCTTGAAATTTACACCTTCTAGCTTCTACAAATCATACACCTTCCAAAGAACCCTCTCCCCCCAAACCCACCCCCACCNCGCACAAGAAAAGAACAATTCTGTTCTCCACAATCTAAAAGGATCAGAACCTTATATCATGATGATTCATTGATTTTAACAAATAACACAAGCTTTTGGATTCTCCTCCCTGCTAGTGACATGATAGTACTGTGGCATGTAAGGATTGTAATTCTTGTAAACTTTTATAAGTTCATCTATTTTTTCATTTTCATCTAATTCCTTTTTCTCATCTTCCTTTTCATCATCATCTTCTTTTGCTGGTCCTACACTTAATAAATCAGCATACCAATTTTTTCTTAATTTCCCCAAAACATTAACTGGATCAACATATCCTATCACTGTTAATGTCTTCTCTCTCATATCAATTGCAATAGATTCTACCCTGCAAAATAAAAGGTTTTTAACATATTTTCCGCTTAGCCAAAAATATTTACACCCGTTAGCCAACAACAACAATAACAACCCAATATAATCTCACAAGTGGGGTCTAGGGAGGATAAGTGGGGTCTAGGGAGGATAGTGTGTACGCAGACATTACCTCTACCCTAGGGTAGAGAGGTTGTTTCCATAGACCCTCAGCATCATTCCCTTCAAGAACTTCTTACCTTGCTCTTGGGGTGACTCGAACTCACAGCCTCTTGATTGGAAGTGGAGGGTGCTTACCATCAGAGCAACCCACCTGGTCTAAACACCCGTTAGCCAATATACATATATTATACATTAGTTATGTATGGCCCGTTTGGCCCAGGGCCATGAGACCGGCCCAGGCCTACATATATCGGTTCGTCCTAGCCCGTTTGGACCACGGTCCAGGGCAGTGCCGGTCCAGGACTGGCCCACTTGCCGCCCTTATATATATCTACCAGCTATTTTAATTTAGTTAATTTCTCAAATAAAATAAACAAAACAAAACAAATAATGAAATTGATGAATCAAATCCGTTTGACTTTTTTTTTTAAAAAAACATCAAATAAAAGGAGGAAGAAAAAATTGATCAGTCAAACTAGTACCTGGGAGAGCTGATACTACTTTCAATGCTTTTTGTTTGTCTCTGTCATCATATATCTCTAATTTAAAAACCAGTTTCTGCAAGGGACAAAAAATTCCAAATATTGCTAAAGATTGTTGATGACTACGGAAATATTAATTCGTAAGGTCTAATAAAAGGAGAAGGAAATTTGTACCTTCATTTCAGCAGCTGGTGAGTAGAAATGTAGACCAGATAGTAGTTGAAGAATAAACTCTAAGAAATAAATAGATGAGGAAGTAAAATATAGACTTAGAGATGAGGATGAGGATGTTATCACACGTCAATATAATATACTTAAATGATTATTATTTAGTACGTAATGTTTTTCAATTTGCATTTTTTTGGGAAAAAAAAACATTTTGTACGTAGTAGGGAGAGTGAAGACAAATGGAAACGATAAAATAATACTATTACAGAGAAATAATGCAAAAAAAGGGTCAACTTTAAGGTAAGGAGAGGGGAGACTTGATCAACATCTGGAGCAAGGTAATGGATTTTATTGGTCTAAATTAAATATATTAAGATGATTGACGTAGTAAACAAAAGTTGTTGACACTTGACACTGACTTCTTTACGTTATGCTACATTTTCTTTAATGGTAGTCTGTATTAACAGAATTATGATATGAAAAAAGGGCCTTAGATTTGGTGTCTTATACTATATGATATCAGATGATATACAAGTAGTTGCGTCAAATGAACGATTTGTATGCATCCCAAGTGAGGCTCTAAGTAGTCATTACCGTCCAAGTTTTAGCCAAAAATCATAGCCATAATCATCTTCATATCTATAAGTAACTTGTGAGCCAGAAGTGGTGAATAAGATTTAGTCAGTTGGAGTTGGGATTATTGGACTGAGTAAAAGGTTTGAGAGTTTTATTTGGAATCCAAACTATTTAGCAAATGAATTTAAAGGACTAGGGTCTAATGGTAAGCACCCTCCACTTTCAACCAAGAGGTTGTGAGTTCGAGTCATCTCAAGAGCAAGGTGGGGGAGTTCTTGGAGGGAAGGATGCCGAGTAGGAGTGTACAAAGGAAACCGGCAAACCGCACCAACCCGATAATCCGAGTCAAACCGATAGAAAAAACCCGATTATGGTTTGGTGTTGGAAAAAAAACCCGAGCATACTTGGTTTGGTTTGGTTTTAACTAAAGAAAGTCAAACCAAACCAACCCGACATTACATATATAGAAATTTTAGATATATTTAATATATAAATATACTCATTGTGATGTAATTTATAAATATTTCTTAAAAATTTCATAATTTTATCTTTTAAGGTATTATTTCAAGGTTGGACTTAGAACTTTTGAATGTTCCAATAAGTTTTATAGCTATTAACATTAGTAAATTAAATAACTCTAGCAAAAGCCCAAACCAAAATCAAATCAATACTAATGTTAACAAAAGACATTCAATTCAATACTACGAACGGGAATGTATTAAATATCTATTTTTTGTTTTGCAATAATTTAGATAAAAATGCATAACCTATTTTATTTTTTCTTTAGCGTTTAGTCATGTAATTAATACTCTCTTATTAGTCTACTTATTTTAGCATGGCTTAGTACTTTTAGATTATGTTTATTTTTATTATGGTTTTTTAATTAGCAATATTTATATTACATAATTTTATTGTCTTTATTGTTGAATATTTAGGATAATGTCATGACACATCTCATATTTTGTATTATTTTCTTGGAAAATACTTTATATAATCGTATCTTATTAGGATTAAAGAAATATTTTGAGCACAATTTGTATGTTTTGTTCTACGAAGATTTTACCGGGAAAAAAAAATTCGAAAAACTCGAATAACCCGAAAACCCGAGAAAAACCGAGAGTGAAAAATCCGAGTTTTATTGGTTTGGTTTGGTCTTTAGATTTAATAACCCAACACAATTGGTTTGATTTGGTAATTGTAAAATTCGAACCAACCCGATCTATGTACTCCTCTAATGCCGAGGGTCTATTGGAAACAGCCTCTCTAAGGTCTGCGTACAGACTACCCTCCCTAGACCCCACTAGCAAAATTATACTGGGTTATTGTTGTTATTGTTTTAAAGGAATAGCGATTATAAAGAAAGGGATTATGCGTATCCTCAACTATGTATCAGTCTAATTCTCCTCTCTTTTTGCCTTAGACTTCTATTGCAATGCTCTTAATATAGTTAGTATTTGCCTTGTAATTCCAGTTACTCTTGATTTATTACAATCAGTTAGTTTAGGGGTTGTTTGGTACAATGGTAGGATTAGTCATTACACTTTATATAAGATAATTAATTCTACTATTTTAGGGGTCATCTGGTGTGAGGTATAAGAAGGTATAGTGCTGGTATAAAAATTTAATACCACCTTAATACTTCGTTTGGTTAGAAAATCAGGTATAAGTTATCCCAGGATTAAAATTAACACCGGGATAACTTATATCTTATAGAGGGTGGAGTAATTAGCACCGGTATAATTATACATTCTTCATACAAATTATGCAATTGTCATATTTAATACAACATACTAAACAATGGATAAAAAACAATCACAGCATAACTAATCTCATCATAACTTATCCCAGCATAACTTACCCCGGCATAAGCCGTATTCAAACCAAACGACTCCTAAGTGTAAAAGTTATCCCGGTATTAGCTAATACCGCAAATCAAATATAGGATAAAGATAATCCCAAACATTATATGGGTTATTTCAAAAAAAAACTTGGGGCTAATTCCCATGCGTAGGTTTCACAAGAAACGTCTTAAATAAGTTCCAGAGATTTGGAATTTTGCCAGACATCAACTGGAGTGAGGCTTTCTCTCTGCTGATGACAAGTATATAACATCAATTAAAAAGACAATTCAAGAAACTATTTACTAATATTGCTAGAACGGATCTAAAAAGTAGACAAAATTTGTTAGTAAAGAAGTTATTAATGTAGAACATGTCCATTCTCTCTGTCTCAATCTTAAATTAGTTAGGTCAGTAATACAAGTGACCTATATTTATTACTTGATGAAATTCGTCATAATCTAACTTTTGTTAGTTCGCGAAACTCTTTAAGCTTGTCTGAAGGACAACTGTGCAGACAATATCATAGCTAGAAGCGTTACAGTAGAATGACTGAGGAATCATAAGCAAAGAAATCAAATCAAAAATTTTGATCATGGAGCCTTCTCGAGGCACTTGAATATCAATGTGAAAGCATAGAACTTTAAGTTATCCGCGGAATTAATAAGACGGAAGACAATTTCAATTTACCTATGACATTCTTATTATCAAATATAATATACTCAGAATAAACAACAAGCTCGCTGCAATCCGGGGCAAGCATTGCCGGAGAACGATTATCCATGAAATGGATGATGGGGCGTAACAAGTATTTATTCCTTTTTTCAGTATGCCGCTCTCTTTCTCTTACTCTCTCATATATAATAACAGCCTGGGGAGATAGCCAAATTGGTAGGTTCATACTACTATATATTGGAGGCATGGGAAAATGGTTATCTGGACAAAAAGTTATTAAGAACGTCATAATGGGTGGTTATCACTAAACAGCTGCTTCAGTCTATAAGGAAGACTGAGCGATTTCTAATGCCTCTTCCACTGAGGATGCATTTTGAAGTTTGCTTTTGTCAACGGTAGGCTGATTCCGTGCAAGTTTTGGAAGCAGTTGGAATTCCTGAAATTATCGTTGAGAACTATCAGTTTCACATCATATATTTTCCAGCCAACAGTAGAAACATGCAATCCAGTTATAAATTTTTAGATACCATAAGACTAAGGCAATCAAGTTTCACTGAATGATGAGATTCTAGATTAAAGAGGCAGGCAGCAGTAATAGGAGAGAAATTAAGCAAAATCCTGCCTTTTTAGGTAGGAGACAAACTTAAATTCATTTCTCTTTCAGAAAGGTCATCTAATAAGCATGGAATAACAATACAGACACTATAAATGAGAAGAACATTTATACCATATTGTTCGTTGTGCAATAGTTCAGAAGACCAATGAACTTCTAGGAAAAATAAAGTTGCTCGATGCACTTCTCATGTTTGCAAGCTGTTTCAGGAAGGAAGGAGGGCGCAGTGGTTTTTGGCGGAGATGCAAGTGCTTCATGATGTAACGTTCATGTGACGAAGCCTTTATGTTACTATAGTATGATTTTATCTATTGCAGGAGCTGAGCATTTAATTCAAAGCTAATACCATGATAGAACAAACCAAGTCTTTTGAGCTTTTGACATCTAAGCAGTCCCCCAAAACATTATTCGTCTGTGCAGTAACAGAATCTAAATATTTCATTTTAGAACTCCTGCCAGTTGAAATTAACTATCAACTCTAGGCAAAATACATAAGTTGCCCCTGAACTATGGACCAAATCCCTGTTACACACTTTCGGACAGCGAAAATAATCTTACACACTCAACCTTTCAAAAGTGTGTCTAATACACACCTTCTTTAACCAGTACAAGTAAAACGTATACCAGTGTAATGCACGCGTTTGAATTTAGTCTGTTTATAATTATTAAACCCAACCCACTCGTTTTAAACTTAACCCTTATTTACTGCCCCACTCGACCCATACATCTCTTATCCTCCCCACCCCACCCATCCCTTTCCCTCACCATTTCTACCATTCTTTCTTCTTCAATTACAACCCCTAAATGTCATGCTACTATTAAGTGAATATAATAATAATGGCTGAAAATGGACCCAGAGCTTTTGATTTGGTACTTCATGGATGGGTCTCCTAATGTCAGTGGTGCTTGTGCTATAGAAGCTACTAGTTAGTATTCTTTGGTTGTTGATTCTGTTAAGCTTGAATGTTCAATTGTTCCTCCTTTAAATCTCAGCAGCCATGGCAGATAGAACCCACAAGAAAATACTCATAAAAATATTTTGGCGAGATATCCAAACTTCCCACCGGCCGGAGTAAGCAAAACTCCATTTTCGACAAGCAAAAGACGTAAAAAAGGAGGGTTTTACTGTAAATTCCATGGCATTGGAGAACATCACAGGTGGAGATGTAAAAGACCACGGCAAATAGAAATCACAATTTTGCTCAAGTCGTCCAATTGGTCCAGTTTGCTGGAAGAGGGGTTGGGGACGAAGGTATTAGTGTTTTAAGTTTGTTTTTTTTGTATTTTGTGTGAAATAGTAAATGGTAGAAAAGGATAAAAAGAAGAAGAATTATTTAAACCGTTGGATCAATTAATTCAAATCTACACCGTTCAAATAATGTTGCAGATTCTCATTTATGACCTTTTCACACGCTCCTTTTGCGTGAAATTTACTTGGTCAAAGAAGGTGTGTATTAGACACACTTTCGAAAGGTTGAGTGTGTAAGATTATTTTCGTCATCAGAAAGTGTGTAACAGGGATTTGGTCTCATAGTTCAGGGAGTAACTTATGTATTTTGCCATCAACTCTACCATTGAACTTCCCTAATTTTTCCTGAGCTTCCTTCAACTAGTGAGCACATGTATGACTCCTTCCCCGGACAAAGTATTTATATCCTGGTACGAGTATATTTGAACCCAAATTCCATATTCAGGAAAAGATAAGTGACTAGTACTGTTATGTGGTTTAAGTAGCATATAAGTGATCATAAGAATGACCGTTATGTCACTAAGGAAAAAAAATATTCACAGAATCCTAAAGCATACTAAGCAAAAGCAGAGGAAAACTTTTGTAGATGCAAGTGATGGCTATGGTAGGAAACCACAGCAATCTTTACACTATGTAATACAGAGCAATGTGATTAGCAGTGACATATATAATCCATTATGCATATGACACATACATAAGCACACTTGTGAGTGAATTAGCTTAAATTTCTGATTGCTATAAAATATTTTCATATTTCTCATACTTTAAATTCTATCGACATCGATTTTAGAGGTACTCACTTTACCGCCCAATCAAAAGGTGAAAACCCATACTTTAAATTTTATCGACATCGATTTTAGAGGTACTCACTTTACCGCCCAGAAAATTTTGGTATGGCACAAATGATCACTTTCTTGGAGAGAAAATTAAACACAGACGCTTCCCCCACAAGTCACCTTTCTTTTTCTTTTTCTTTTTCTTTTTCTTTCCTTGCTAGGTTTTTTAGAGTAACAGTATTAAAGGTCAAGAGTGAGGCAAAAGGAAAATAACTGATGGCTCTTTAGACATTTATGCAGCTTGCAATACATATAGATAACTATAGATAACTGCAAAATTTGACATGAGATCCTTCGAAGAGTGCATACCTCAGGACTCCCACTTTCAAGAAGAACCCCCTTCAACTTACCTGCAAAAGATGTATGTTTATATCACTCTTCTTTTGCCCTGTACCTATTAGTATCACCTTTTTGAAGTACAACTTAAAAAGATACAGGGAAAGAAAAATAAACCTACACAACCAGACACGCCCAAAAAGAAGGAATAAGTGCATACCAGAGTCGATCCAAAATGTTGCAACCTTTGGATCAAAATTCCCAACTTCAACGGTCTCCCCAACTGATCAAAAGATGGTAGAATCAATACCAGCTATGGAATTATTCATACATGAAGTATAACAATTTGGAAATGATCAAAAAAAGCAGCAAAAATATGTTTACCGCTGTCCCCAAAGAATTGCCACCAAACTTTCCTAGGGCTTCCTTCATATTCAAAAACCCTAGAGTAGAAGTATGGTAAATAGTCATACCTGCATTCAGCAAACAATACAATATTTAGGAAGATTCAATTGAAAAGAAGCTTATCCTAGATTATGAACTGAACTTTGATTAACTTACGTGTGCGTATGTGCAGTTAGCAATGATTTAATACAATGTTGTGCAGATTTACGAGCATGGTCAACGTGCTCCACCCGTGCAATTCGGTTGTATATCTGCATGGTTAGCATCAGTCAACTCATTACACAAAAATAATAGAAAAATGTATAAAGTTAGTCAGAAGATCTAACCTTCAATGGAAATGCTGCAACATCTCCAATGGCAAAGATTCCAGGTATGCTTGTACGGAACTGGCCGTCCACCTAAATTTAAAAATTAAAGTGTAATCATTACTAGGAACAATCAAGCCCTTACTTTCTGAAGGTATGTTAACAGAAAGAAGCACCCTCATTCTCTTCAGATTTCTCAATTTTGCCCAGAAACAACATTAGAAGGACTGAAGTTACAGAAGAGTTAATATCATCTGGACACGCGTAAAAGATCCTCTTTTTAATTCTGGAACCAATTTCTTCATTGGTCTTACTACGTACTGCCATTGTCAAACAACGAAAGAGCTCTGATGATCAGGAGTAATAAACCATATACAATCTTCTCACCTTTCAATTGAGAGAAACTGAAAGACTTCTTTGGAAAAGGGAAGTTTCTTTTGCCTCTTTTTCTTTATTTTTTCTTTTTTAACTAATCAGAGTAAACAGACAAATTCAAAAAAATTACATGCGTGCATTTTCAACAAAACCATAGGTCAAGTACGAGTTGGAGCAATTTGCTCTGAAGATGAATAGTTTCGTCTCATGGAAGAGCAGCAAATTTCACTGCCTACCTTCTGATGTACTAGACTATGCCTACTTCAGATGTAGTTAAGACTTCTTGTAGACAGTAAGACTGATGTACTTCACAGAAACTTACAGATGAAGAAAAAACATGCAAGAACATACATTAAGATTTAACTTTAAGGTAAGAATTATTTTGATTCGTTGATTCACCATTTCAACTTATAGCATATCATGTCTTGGTGGAAGATTAAGACCATGACCAATTTGCAGTTAGGAGAGTGGTTTAGCCATAAATACTAACTATATTTGGGGGGTCCCCAATTTGAACAATCCTAGCAAAGATATAAATAGAGTGCTAACCGCAATTCCACCAACAGTGCTGTTTAAGCCAACCACGTCAAATGGACTGACAGCAGGTTTTGCTCCAATACCAATAACGACCTGCAAATTCATAAAGGATATGCAAATGATTTGAGCTCTTCAACTTCTTTATCTGCACAATCATACGAGGTACTCCAATCCTCCGTGAAATAAGAACTTGATAGAACATGAGTAATCGTTGTTGTACCGTGTCTGTCTCTATACTTGATCCGTCTTCAAGCTTAACTGCAACTACCCGGCCATCTGGACCAGATTCTAGATGTTTTATCTTAGCACCCTGGGAAAAGATAAATTCATTTAGAAGATTATAAAATTGGTTGAGAAAGGAGGTAGACTATCAGAACTAGAAAGGAGAAAGGAGGAGACCTTGACGAATTTGACGCCGTTGTCTTGGTAGAGTTGCTCATACTTTTGGGCAAGAGAAGGAGTGAACAATCTTGGCAAAAGATGCTCTTCTGGGAAAATTATCTATGTTCCCAACAAAGTTAGTAAAAGCAGGAGTATACTGGTACCACATTCAAATGCAGGCAAGTTTTAAACTTCAGAGGAATAAGAAAAATAAAATGCTTCATTTGTAAGGTAATAAGCTGGGATATTATGCTTCAGATACTCTTTGAACAGAGGACTTATTAGTACAAGAAAGGAACACAGACTTCTTTTGACTTGTAGAAAAAACATAACTTTCGGAACTTCACATGTTATTATTCCTTATATTGTCATCAACAGGTTTTGCTTCTATAGTTCTATGGTAATTTTTCTACCAAATTAGTTTTCACGAAAGAAAGAGGTAATCATGGTTCATGAATTAATGTTTCTTATTTATTTCTCACAAACAGCATTTCTTATTTAAGAAAGTGAAAAGAAGTAGTAAAGAGAACTCACAGTTGTATCAAGTTTCCAGGCCACAGCAGCTGCAGCAACTTCCATTCCTATATAGCCACCACCAACAACCACAAGCTTTTTTGCTTTCCCCTAAAATAAAACAACATAAATTAGGAATATTATCATTCATTTAACTCCAGAAGACCATCCATATTCAAAAGTTATGGGATGTATCTTTAAATTTTAAAAGACCATTTATAAGCATAGAAATGAGCACGATCTTACCAGTGAGGAAATTAATGAATCAGCATCAGCCACATCCCGAATATAGTGAACCCCCGGCAAACTTCCTCCAATCTTCTCAGGAAATCTGAAATCGATTAATCACTAAATGATTAAACATCTGGTAGTTTAACCAGGATTGTAGGGCATATCAGTTGATACAAATTACAGCAATAAAATAATACAGCAGATGGAGGATATGATGTTTATTCAAGGGGAAAAAATCTTTTCCTGGTCCATTTTCTGATTGGACCAAGGCGCAACTGGATGAGTGTAAATTCTGATCTCTCCTCTATAATTAACAGGTTCGGATAAGCAGCACTCTAGTATAGCAAGCAAGGTCACCTGGATGCCGTACATCCGGTTGCGATTATAAGGGTGCCATACTTGAGAAGCTTTCCTGAATTTGTCGTCAGAGTTTGCTTTTCTATATCAATTCCTGTTACAGGATCTTCATATAACATCTGCAAAAGGTAAACATTTATCTTCAATTAGACTTACCTGACATTTAGAATGCTGGAGCTGAATAATAGAATAAAATAAGAACAAAATGAGATCATGTTTCCTCTCAAATTCTCCTAAAATTCCTAACTAGTACATATATTCTCAAATCTTCAATCAATTTACCTTGCTTTCTTTTGAGCAAACCAAAAAAAAAGAATCACAATTACATCAGACTTGTACAAGTGGCAACACAATATACAAAATTGCAGTACCTCTATCCCTTGTTCGTTGTACCAATCGGGAGTTTGCCTCTCACCACCAGAGCCAACGCAAGTATGAAAGCCCTAAAAAAACAGAGTTACATGGTATTCCTCATCAAATGCTGAAATTTGGTATTGACAATGACAGAGAAGCTACAAATGTTTCCAAAGCATGCTAAATAAAACAAAACCAAAGCTCACCGGTAAACGTGCTGGCTTTTTGTCTGTTGGAAACAAATATGCTTTAGTTAATGCTGGACGTTCATATGGTGCATATGGCTGCACAACAAAAAGGAAAATATTTCAAAACAAACCAACAGGAGCAAAGTAACAAACCTTAAATCTAACATTACAGGCATCCAACCAATTAGATTCCTTTATACATCTTCAACTACAATAAATTGCTGAAAAGACACAACTATCTAAATATGATTCATATGAATAATCATCACAAAGTATCAAAAACAACTTTTATGTCTCAGTCTCAAACTAATTTAGGCCGGCTACATAAAACCTTTATATCCAGTCCGCTCCATTTGGATCCTTTTCCTTACTCAATAATTTGTATTTTAAGCACCAAGAAAAAAAACAATTAGGGTTTCGCTAACACTATGGGCTCCAATACCAACGTTGGTCCATAGCAAGGTTTCAAACTCCTTGTATGTGCATCGTGCTACTTTGACGTTGAACCAAAGCCCTAGAGGCACAAATTTTAAATACCATTGGCCAGCAAAGTTTGAAACTTTAATAAATAATTACACAAAAAAGCTAATGGAGTAGCATGGACAGTGAGGATTCATTAAGCGACCGCAACCTTTTTTGGATTGAGGTATAGTTGTTGTTGTTGTTGTAGTTGTAGTTGTTTTTGTTATCTCTAAACTAACATACAAATTTCCTCAACAAAATATAAATGTACTAAACACTTAAACTTAATACTTTGTTAGTATATAATTACTCGGAGATAGAAACTACTCAACCAAAATTACCTCTTTGGTCACAATGCAGAGCTTTCCATTAGCTTGTCCATGTTCAACAAAAGTTTTAGCTGCATATCCAGCTGAGTTTCCTCCTCCAACTACTACATACCTACAATCATCCAAATTTCAAATTCACCAAATTATTCACACATTTAAAAAAAAAAAAAATCAAACACCAGAGTATCATTTATCTGCTCAAAAGTGGAACTCGACAATGAAACTCACTCTCGATTCTCATTAGCAAACGAAGAAGCCGCCGCAACGTAACTTCTCCGGAAACTTCTAGAAGAAATCCGAGGAAATCGATTTAACGAAGCTGATTGAGGACACCAGAGTGAAAGACCTTGCTTAAACGACATCGTATTGGGCATGGTCGCCATTAATCTTTGAACTGCAACTACAATAATAAATGAAAATAAAAAGAGCTGAAATTTTAGGATTCAGAGAGAGATATTTTGAAGTGATGAAAGGAAGAGATGAAGTTAATACCTGAAGACATAGGGATAAAAAGTGTGAAACACTGATCTGAAATTAATAATTTAATATTGACATGTACTGATTAATTATTGGTGCCAATTGGCTCTATTGCTCCCTAGTTCTGACTCTAGAGATGGCCGAAACGTCGCGACAATAGAGAAAAGTCGTGATTGACTCGTAGGTAGCACAGAAGAGACGCTTATCTTTCTGAAATTGCGTCAGTGTTGAAGATGATAAACGCAGATGCCAGAAATGGGTGCGAACTAATCTTTTGTGCGAGCTAATCTTTTGAAAAAAGATGGGTTTTCATTCATATTCTAATTTACAATCTCCGTCAAAAATGCCTATATTATATCTTACATGCCTATTACAACTAAATAAATAATAATTAACCCGCTGTTATAAGTTAAATCGCACTAATAATATAAAAATCTATGAAAAATGTATATTTTAGTCTCTTTTGAAAATAATAGCTGATAAAATATATATTTTTATATATCTATATATAATATGCATATTTATATATACTTTTGAATGTAATTAGTTTTAGCGACCGAAACTCTACTGCACTTATGTTCGGCGTTTCCTTAGTGTAGGGCGAGGAGGGGATCAGCGTGTTTAATCGGCATAGTAAAATAGAGCTCTTCTTTAACACTACTCATTATTATATAAAGAAAATGTAAGCTATCATTGTGAAGTATGCTTAAGAGCATCAATTAGTATATTATACTAGGCATATCTTAATTAGTATATTATGATGCTATTACAAAGTAATATCGTAAAAAAAACATCCTTCCACCCCCCTAAATTCGTTCATGGAGTAAGGTCTGCGTATACATTACCCTCCCCAGACCCTACTTATGGGATTCCACCGGATTGTTGCATATAAAGTTATAATATTGGTGCAAGGGATGGACTTAGAACGTAAAAATTGCACGGGGCACACTATTTGGTCGTCCCCATTTAACTTATACTCATTTTTTAAAAACTTTTAACTTGTACCCACTTTTTAAACAACTTCAGCCCCCTTTCTCCTCCTCCTTCTCCATCACCATCACCGGACTAGAGAGAAAAAGGTCACTATCTCAATTATTGAACACTAGCGTCTAGCCCGTGAAAGGCTTGACTTCTTTCATCTTCATTGCTCAATTTTTTGCTATCTACTTCTCTTTTTTTTTACCCATTCAATTAGAATGGAATCACATAGATGTATTTGTCACAGAAATACACCCAGCATCATTATCACATTTTGTTTCTTATTGCACAACAATGAGTTGGAAACCTTAATTCCAAAAATTAAATTTTTGAGCATTAATTGCAGTGTTACTTGTAAGTAAGATTGACAAAGATGACAGTGACACAGAAATGCTTCGTAACGCTTACTCATGTGTTTAACGATGACGTCGATAATGAAAATGGTGTTGCTGCCACAAGAACAATGAACTTCAGCTCTTCGTCAGTTACAAAACAAAAACTTCAGCTCTAGAGCTTAAGTTCGCCAGTTACAAAACAAAAACTTCAGCTCTAGAGCTTAAGTTCGCCAGTTACAAAAACTTCAGCTCTAGAGCTGAAGTTCGCCAGTTATAAAACAAAAACTCGCCAGTTACAAAACAAAAATTTTAGCTCTAGAGCTGAACTTAGGTCTGTCTACTAGAATGCTAAAGTTTTGCGTGATTGCCTTTGCTACTTCAGCCCGTTTGCTGAAGTTATGCAAAAAAACAGGTACACTTGCAATTTTTTTTGCAAAGCTGGCACAAGTTAAAATGTGACACAAAAATCGGGTATAGATGCAAATGCCTCTTAGAACACAAACAAATATGCCTGAAAGGGGTCTGGCTGCTTGGGCCTGGACCGAAGCAGTGAAACGGAGATAAAACGCAAGTGCATAGATAGTCATTTTCAGAGATGCTATTTAGAGATTATCCAGTACTTATTTTGTCGTGAAATTTTAAACTAAAAATCTTAACTTAAGGACAATTCAAGACATTTTTATCTCGGAAAATTAAACTAAAAAACTGAAATTCAGGACGCACTGATTAATTCCTAAATAGCAGTCTTTCGGAGTGGCTGCTTGGTATCATTTCTGCTGACACCAAAAGCCCAGAGACTTGTTCAAGTTTGTAGAAGGTTATGTTGAAGAAATTGCATGATCTGGAGCAAGACTAGAAAAAGGTTTCTCTTGGTTACCGCTGCAAAAACAAGCAATGAATACAGTCATAAAGCAGTAAAGTACCATTACTAGCATTTATAGTCTGTTTGGCCAAGTTTCTCAACAGAAAAAAAGTATTTTTTTCCCAAAAGCACTTTTTTCCCTAATTTGAGGTGTTTGGCCAAGCTTATTTGAGAAAAAAGTGCTTTTGGAAAGAAACAGAAACAGTTTCAGAGAAGCAGAAAAAAGTAGTTTCTTTCCAACAGCAGAAGCAGAAGCAGTTTTGACTTTTCTTCTTACCTAAAATACCCTTAACAAAATATAGTATATACCAAAATAACCCTTAAACCTAATACTTAGGATATTAATTTATAAATATTTCTTCTTATTTTTAGGAAAACTTTCTAATATATAGTGACTTTAGGGGTGAATGCTTTTATATTTGTTGAAGGAATTTTAATATATTTAACTTATATTAAAAGAATTAAGTACTTTTTAATTTTATTTTCATATTTTACTTAAATAAAATGANNACTTGGCCAAACACAAATTATTTCTCAAAAGTGCTTTTCAGACTGATTAGGCAAACACAAACTGTTTCTCTCCAAAAGCACTTTTGAAAAAAGCACTTCTTAAAATAAGTTGATTTCTCCAACTTGGCCAAACAGGCTATTAATCATGTCATTAATAATCTATAGCCTTTTTGAGCAAAATATTACAGTGCGTCGATGTTATTGAAAATAATGAGTTGTTAGGAGATATATCTGTTGGACTTTAAGCCATTGGGCTTTAAAAGAGAAGAAGTGTGAATTGGAAATGGAGGGAA